CACACACACACACACACACACACACACACACACACACACACACACACACACACACACACACATTAATTAATGAAAAAAACTATTGCATTTTGGTCTTAGCTCACTCAGTATGTTAGACTGGTACAGGACATGTATGAAGACAGCAGAATATTTATGAGGCCAACAGGACATTATGAGTATTATAGAACATGTATGACGATAGTAGGACATGTTTGAGGACAACAGGACATGTATGAGGATGGTAGGATGATAGGCTCCTTGTTTGGTCTGCTGATAGACACACTAACAGATGAGGACAGGCAGGAATCTTTGTGGACTCTGATGTCTGCAGAGGACATTGTGATATCTGTGATGAGAACAGGGAGCAGGTGAAGAAAAATAGGTGAGGCAGAGGAACAAAGAGAAATGAAATTTAAGACAGAGGACAGGTGTGTGAATGAGAGGGAGGCAGGTGAGACCACAAGGAGCAGAGGTCAAAGRTCCAGGACTCTAAGCCCTAGACAGGATTTGTTGTAAGGACCTGCTAGTCTGACACGGTTTTGTTTTTAATGTTTTACAGGTGATAAATTCTGAGAACACACACTGCTTTGGCTGCTCATCTGCTGCCGAACGAGACCGTTGGATTGAAGATCTGAGGCGAGCGGCCCAGCCCAATAAAGTAAACGCTCAGCTGTTTGTTTAAAATATAAAAATAAAACGATTCAACGTTGATTCAAAGTTCTGATCGATAAATGTCGACAGGATAATGTGGAGCGGATAGAGAACTCCTTGAGTCTGTGGGTCAACGAGGCGAAGGACCTGCTACCCAAACGGCGGTATTACTGCGAGGTTCACCTGGACGGGACCCTGTTCGCCCGCACCAGCAGCCGAGCCATTGGAAAGCCGGCTAACCGCTCCAGCCTGGCTGGGGATAACTCCGCGGGGTCTTCAGGAGGCCTGGGAGCTGGCGGAGGTGTGGGTGGAGGGTGTCAGCTGTTCTGGGGGGAATTCTTCGAGCTCGACAACCTGCCATCAGTCTCCCAAATCAGCCTGCACCTTTTCCGTGAAGAAGACACCAAAAAGAAGCGCCACTCCCGGGAAGAGCTGAACCTGCACCCGCTGGGCAGCGTGGAAATCCCCCTGGCCGATATCCGAGGGAGGACCTTCCAGGAGAAGTGGTACCCCATCGCTCCATTCAAGGCCGCAGGTGCAGCGGGGAGCAAGGAGCTGCTGGGGCCACAGGCCTCGCTCCGCATCAAGGCCCGCTTCCAGAACCTGAAAGTTCTGCCCATGGAGAAGTACAAGGAGTTTGCAGAATACGTGACGGTGGATTACATAGAAATGTGCAGAAACCTGGAGCCTCTTCTGAATGTGAAGGAGAAGGAAGAGCTGGCTGGAGCTCTGGTCCACGTGCTCCAGAGTATCGGCAAAGCCAAGGTTGGGCATAAAAAAACACTTCAAACACAACTTGCTTTTAGAATAAACGCTGAGTCAGCAGTACTGTTGTCTTCCTGTTTTTTAAAATTATTTTGTCCTGTTTTTACACTTTCTGCAGACTTTGTGCTATTTTAGCCTTTTAGCATTCAACTCATTTTGCTTTTTGTTTTTGTAACTTAAAAAAAACTTTAAATACATTAGCTCTGCTTTTGTCAACTTATACTAAATTTAGCTACCATTCTACTTTTAGCTTTTATTAGCTTTTTGATACTTTAGCTACTATTCTACTACTTTTCGCTACCATTCTGCCCTTTGCTATTTTAGCATTCATTTTCTACTTTCATCTTTTACAGCGCAATTTGAAACATTTAACCTTTAGCTAGCCTTTTGCTGTTTTTAGCTAGTCCTTTGATACTTTTGACTTGCAGTTATCTATTTGCTACTTGTAGCTTTTAGGTAGCTTTTTGATACTTTTAGCTTTCAGCAAATCTTGCTGCTTTAAGTTTTGCTATTTTGCTACTTCAAGCTACTATTTTTCTATATTTACCTCACCTTTGCAACTAAAAGCTTTGAGCTAGTCTCTCACTCTTTTACGTTTTAGCTGAGTTTCAGCTTTATTTATTTATTTATTTATTTATTTATTTATTTATTTATTTATTTATTTATTTATTTAATATGTTTCTTTTCAATCCTCAGAATGTAGTCCCGACCACGCGGGCCAGCCAGGTGGGCCTCGGCCAAAGAACCAGGACGGTGGTGTGAGGGTGAGCACACATAACCCTTCATTTCCTCCTGATGAAACAGAGTTACCTGCTGGATGAATGTGTGGACAGATAAATGAGGGAGCAGATTGTGATGCGAAGAGCTTTGAGTTTGATAAGCAGTCCATTTCCCGTTTATCCCCAGGCGCTGATCAAACGACGCCTGGACAAGGCCAAAAGAAACAGCGCCACCCAGCTGCACCCAGGACTGAACAAACTCAGCAGGTACAACAAAAACACAGACAAAACTGAATCCATAACTCCAGTTCTGTAAAATGTAAACACCAGTAATGTCAGTAATTGTTAATCAGTAATGAAAAAGTAAAAACAATTCAGTTTTACAGTCTGAGTGTTGGATTTCCAGTTCCAGGCACTTCGGTTCCCGGGAGTCTGTGTCGATCCCGGTTGCTGCCGTTGGAAGTCTGGATCTGAGCGCCGACACCAGTACTGTCATCAGACCGGTCCACAGTTCCATTTTAGGAGAAAAGTACTGCTTTGAGGTAAACTACAGACTCCAAAGGTGCTGAAAGTTAGTCTACTTTTCTATTAAAATAAAACAATAAACAAAGGAAACAAACACACACACACACACACACACACACACACACACACNGTACTGTATTGGTTCCCTGGTGGGGAAATTAAGTAATTTGCACACTTCCTTCGGCTCTTGGCATTCACTGAATGTGTGGCTTTAAACTCGGTTTCTTCAGGAGTTCCTGATCGATCTGGGCGGTGCAGAAGTGGAAAAGTTCGGGGAGAAGGAAGCTCTGATCTTCAGAGAGAACACGTTGGCCACTAAAGCCATAGACGAGTACATGAAGCTGGTCGGTCAGCGGTACCTGATCGACACACTCGGTACGGGGGGCTTCGTGATGAAGACAGCCTTTTGTAAAGCTGTGACAACAGTTTAATGTAAATATTTCTATTTGCTGCAGGGGATTTCATCACACGACTGTACTCCTCAGTCGAGAACTGTGAAGTTGATCCTCGTAAATGTCCCGCCGCTGAGCTGACGAGCAACCAGCAGCACCTGAGGGAAACCTGCGAGGAGGTCGTGCAGAAGATCGTTGGGCTCCACGGGTAAGAAACCAAGATTTAATGTAGGAAAAAAGAAACCAGAACAGAAGCAAAGTCTTCCTACAGCTGAGTAYTGACTCTCATCTGCAGACCTTTTCCTGAGGAACTCAACAAGATCTTCTCYAGCTGGGGGGAGTTGTGTGAAGACCAGGGCAGAGCAGAAATCGGCCAGCGGCTCATCTCTGCTTCCCTCTTTCTTCGCTTCTTGTGTCCTGCTGTTCTCAGTCCTTCTCTTTTTGGTTTGATGCAACCTTATCCAGAGCCCAACACACTCCGGACCCTGACCCTGACCGCCAAAGTCATCCAGAACCTGGCCAACTTCACCCTGTGAGCAGATTTATCTCTGCTTACACTTCTATTGGTACATTTTCACCTCTGCAAAACAGAAAAGGTTGAAGTAAAATAAATCTTTTGTTCTGCTACAGGTTTGGAGAGAAGGAAGAGTATATGCTGTTTATGAATGAATTCCTGCAGCAGCACTGGGATGGAATGAGGTCTTTTCTCCAGACTGTTTCCAATCGGGACACAGAAATCTCAATGACGTCCTTCGACGGATACGTAGACCTGCCTCTGCGTTTAGCTGTGCTGCACGGTCTGCTGGTGGACATTATTCATAAGAAAGACCAGGTGGGGCAGAGAATGAGTGCATTTATCTCACGTTAAAAGATAAAGACTTTAAAGTTAGAGCTAATTTACTTCTTTCTTCTTTAGGAAACAATAAACAAGCTGCACCCGCTGCCCTCCGTACTCAACCAGATTACAGAGGTGCTCGGACCTGAAGTGCCTCAGATCACCATAAACAGGTGCGTACTGTGAACACCTGGATTATGATCCTTTATTTAATGTTATTAAATGTAGCCTTTTCTTTGCAGCCGAACAGAACAAACCAAACCGATCTACGTTCCTCCCAAAGACCTGGGAAAGTACAGCCCCCTTCAGTCCTCCATGCAGAAGCTGCCTGTGGACTCCAGAGGCCTTCGAGACAAGTAGGAYATGATTTAAATCAATCTGTCAATTTGATCCTTAATGGTGAACATACAGTAGTCTAATGTTCTACCTATGTTCCAGTGATGCCAGGACTCATAGGAGCATGAGAAAGGGGAAGCCTCTCGCCAGAACCCAGAGCGCTCCACACAGACAACCTGCACACGCCAAGCATGTCCTGAAGAGGCAGCAGAGCTCCGAAGCTCTGCCGACCGCCGACCTCCAGCAGCAGGAGCAGGAGATGGAGCCCAACCAGCCCATCATCACGCCCCCGGATACCGTGAGTACAAACAAGGACCACCTGGAGGCAGTGAATAACGGGGTGTTTACCTGTAACCGCCATTTTGTTTCTGCAGGGCAGAAGCATCAAGCGTCCACCTGCACCAGTTCCATGGATTATTGTGAACCCCAACAGGGAGTCGTGTGAGATGAAGACAGCGAACGAGCAGTTCAGCGTGTTGGACAGAGTATGTTAAACTACACCCAGTAACTAATAAAAGAAAACTGGTTCTGCTCAGTAAGTTCAGTATGAGGTTCTTATAAAGCCTGTAATTACCCCCCACAGCACGCCCAGGAGCTGTCCGAGCTCCGGCTGGGGATCGAGCAGGTGACGGATCGGGAGCTGGAAATGGCCAAGCGCCTGGAGGACTTCATCAACCAGAGCCAGGACCAGAACGCCATGCTGCAAGCTGAGGTGGTTGAGCTTAGAAACGTGCTGGCGTTACGAGACGAGCAGCTCGCCAGCGCYACCTTCAGGTACACATTGTTCCTGTCTTTATTTTGAACCCAGACTTTCTGGGATTGGGTTCAGCGTGGTCACTGGTGTTTCTGTGTTTGCTGCAGGCTGGGTGTGATCGAGGAGGAAAGGGAGGAAGATGAGAGGAAGCTCAGCGTTGCTCTTGCAGCAGCTGAAAGAGTCAATGTGCTGGTGAGGATACTTTTGTCTTTTAGCTAAAAGTTTGTTTAACTTTAATGCTTCAGCTTCAGCAGTCATCCAGGGCTCAGCGTTACGATTACAACTGATTTAAAAGTTGTTACTGAATGTTGATCATGTTTTTGCAGGAGGAGCAGTTCGCCGGCCTGCTGAGGGACATTCAGCACCTGAACGAGGCCGTCAGCAGCAGTCAGAACAAAACCCCGCCTCCTGACCAGCCTCACATCAACAGCAACTGAGCTCCGACACAGAGAAAGAATTCAGCTGCCGTTTCGTAACGATGCACATAAATATATTTAGTTTGTGAAACCTACAGGATTTATCTGCATTTCCATGTCTTTGTATCTCAACTTTAATCAATAAAAAAGGTTGATTATTACTTCTTTTTAGTGCATATTTACCCGCATAATCTGGCTTTTGGGTAGGCTTTGATATTACGGGACAAATTATTGGTGTCTATAAGTTACTTCTTATTTAGATTAGAGAGATTATTGTCAGTAAAAGTTTGCTTTGATGAAACTTTAGATTTTATTTGTACAGATCTTGTTTAAAACAAGTGATACTGCAGCATCCCTCAAATGTATGGGGAAGAAGAGAGTTGAGGGGGGCTTTATTTTAGCTGTCAGCCACTGCAAAAAGTAGACAATAAGACCTGTGGGGGGCAGCATTACGCTGTGTTCCAGACAGCCTGCTGTAATTTATGAGAAGAAGAAGAAGGAAGTGGTCTGTCGCAGTCCCGGCTCAGAGTTGTGCTGCGTCTCTGATCAGGTCCAGCTTTAATAAACACGAGTTCTTCTCCTGCGTCAACAGAACCCAGAAAACTGAAGGTACAGAGAGATTTAATCCGATTTTATTGAGTTTAACACATGTCATTGTTGTCAAACATCGTTAAACTTCGAGCTCGTATTTGTTTGATTAAATCATGCCTTTAATTGATCTCTAATGGTTTMTTTACTTAATWAAATACAAACGCTGAATCCTATTAAACAATATGAGTTTGTAATTAATCAGAAATAAAAACKTACTTTAAGTTTCGTTTTCCACCTTTAAGTTTCGTTTCTTGCTTCCTGTTTGAATTTGCACTGTACTGTACCAGATTAATAATTTTCACCGGTTTTATTAGATTCAAATTAAGCTTAATGTAACACATTTATACATATTAGTTAAGATTTCACAAAATAAATTAAATTTCAATGTTTATCACTCAGTTAAGATAAATTATTACCTGTAACAGATTTTAATAATTAATGCATTTAACTTTGAATTACTCTGCTCTGTTAAATTTACCCAATTAAACAAAATTTAATTAATCAAATTGCAACTAGTTTGAAAATCTAAGTAAACTTTAGGCTTTAAGGAAAACATTTATTCTGATGATTATTTTTTATTCAAATGAAGATTAAAACTACACACAAAATAACATTTACACATAACACAGCTTGTTAACATTTATACCATCCAAGTAATAGAAAATTTCTTGAATTTAATTAATTTAAAGAATTAATTTAATTCTTGTTTCAGTGCGATGGCGTCAGCGGAGGAGCCTCAGTTCTCTTTGGTGGGTCTGGAGGAGGACCTGACCTGCAGCATCTGTCTGAGCACCTTCACCTGTCCGGTCACCATCCCCTGCGGACACAACTTCTGCCACGACTGCCTGCTGGCCACCTGGAAGGACTCCTACAGCTGCCCCCAGTGCCGGACCCTGTTCGCCATCAAGCCCGAGCTGAAGAAGAACACGGTCCTCAGCACTGTGGTGGAGACCTTCAGGATCCGGGTCAAGAGTGAAGCGCCGGTGGAGGAGAGCCAACCCGAGCAGCAGCAGCAACACCAGGAGGAGGAGAAGAAGAAGGATGTGATCCGCTGTGACACCTGTATGGAAGTCGAGGCGGCTCAGACCTGCCTCACCTGCATGGCCTCCTTCTGTGAGGAGCACCTGCGGCCCCACCGGGAGAACCCCATCTTCCGGGTCCACCAGCTGAGCCAGCCCATGGGGGACCTGATGGAGCGCATCTGCCCGGACCACCACAAGCTGATGGAGCTGTTCTGCACCAATCATGGCCGACTTATCTGCAGCTTCTGCCTGCAGCAGGTGCACAAGGGCTGCAGCTTCTCCTCACCTGAGGATCAGAGGAGCCTGAAGCAGGTCTGTGGCTTCAGATCCTAAAACTCTAAAATAATCAAAGTACAACAGCTCAGAGCTAAAGTATAGCTGAGAGTCCTCCTCAACTACCTTAAAGGTTCTCTCTAGGGCTGCGCGGTATATGCGGTAGACGGTAGAAACGGTATGAAGTTGACCTACGGTAGAAATTTACGCTCTACCGTCATATCGTCATTACATCATCGCACCTGTGTCAGCAGGGCTGTGAGTGCAGAGACACCTGAGCAGGAGTTAGAAATATAATGAAGAAATTCTAGCATTTTAAAACACGTGTAGAGAGAATAAATCCTCAAAATATCCTCCTCCCGCTGTAGAAAAGTTATGTCGTATTGCAGGATCATTTCCTCTTCTCTCGCTGCACGTCACACAGAGCGAAGTTTTAAAGAGTAACTTACCCCAAAATTAATATTTTTTAGCTGATAAACTGTCTAGAATGTGTCTAAAATGTTATATAGTAC